CGTGTTCGGTCCGATCATCCGGACCCCATCACACATCAAGCCAGTGGGCCACAAATGGGTCTTTGTGCGTAAAAGGAACGAACTCGGTGAAGTCGTTCGATACAAAGCACGGCTTGTAGCACAAGGATTCTCACAGAGACCCGGAATCGATTATGAGGAGACTTATTCTCCAGTGGTGGATGCAACAACATTCCGATTCCTCATAAGTCTGGCCATAAGAGAAAATCTTGATCTGCGGTTAATGGATGTTGTAACCGCATATCTTTTTGGGCCCCTGGACAACGAAATATATATGAGACTCCCAGATGGCATTGAACTAAAAGACAAAAATGCATCTCGAGATCAATACTGCATCAGGCTGAATAAATCCTTGTATGGACTGAAACAAAGTGGGCGTATGTGGTACAACCGCCTCAGCGATTACCTCATCAAAGAAGGCTACAAAAATGACCCCATCAGTCCATGCATCTTCATCAAGAAGTACTCAAACAAAGGATTTGTAATCATAGTAGTATACGTGGATGATCTAAACATCCTCGGAACATCTGGTGAGATCTCCCAAACAGTCGACTGCTTAAAAGCAGAATTCGAAATGAAAGACCTAGGCAAAACAAAGTACTGTTTGGGATTACAACTTGAGTACATCAAAGGAGGAATCCTTGTGCATCAATCGGCTTATATCGAAAAGGTACTCAAGCGATTTAATATGGACCAAGCTCACCCATTGACCAGCCCAATGGTAGTTAGAAGCTTAAGTGATGACCCTCTTGGTCCCAAAAAGGATGATGAAGAAATCCTTGGTCCTGAAAAGCCATACCTCAGTGCTGTAGGAGCGTTAATGTACCTGGCTAGTCACACTAGACCAGACATATGTTTCGCCGTGAACCTCCTCGCTCGATATAGTTCATCTCCAACTCAGAGGCACTGGAACGGTATAAAACATCTCCTAAGATACCTTCGAGGTACTCAAGACTTAGGACTCTTCTATACAAACTAAAATAAAGATGGGTTAGTCGGCTTCGCCGATGCAGGATATCTATCAGATCCGCACACTGCCAAGTCTCAAACTGGCTACGTTTTTACGCATGGAGGAACAGCCATCTCTTGGAGATCAATGAAGCAGACACTCACTGCCACTTCATCAAACCATGCTGAAATCCTAGCCATTCATGAGGCTAGTAGGGAATGCGTCTGGCTGCGCTCCATGACTCAGCACATCCGCAGAGATTGTGGTATGGACGAAGACACACAGCCCACGGTGATGTATGAAGACAACGCGGCATGCATAGCTCAGCTCAAGGAAGGATATATCAAAGGAGATCGGACGAAGCACATTCTACCGAAGTTCTTCTCAACCTCAGACTGGCAGAAGGACGGCACTCTCAGCGTTCAGCAGGTCCGATCCAGTGAGAATTCAGCTGACCTCTTCACCAAATCATTGCCTACTTCAACACACCGGAAGCTCGTCAAACAGATAGGAATGTATAGACTTAGAGATCTGCAGTGATGCTACAATCAGGGGGAGTAATGCGTCTTGTACTCTTTTTCCTTCACCATGGTTTTGTCCCACTGGGTTTTTCCTGGTAAGGTTTTAATGAGGCAACATTCCCCAGCGCATTATCGAGATCCCGATTGAGTAGCTGACCCGGTTCACTCGTCCAAGGGGGAGTGTTATAACACATATCATATATGGACTCTTATACCGGCCCATTAGGCCCATCAGGGCATTGTACTTAACCTAGATTCCCTATGTACTCTATATATACATTCTAGTGATTAATAAAGTTTCTAAGTTTTCACAACACTAGATAAATTATGTTCAAGCACTCATTTTTCTATAAAATTGTAGCATTTCATTTAGTATGAAGGCTGCAACCTAAACAGACAACATTTTCTAATGAATTATATAATGTTTGCTTATATCGATTTACAAAAGTTGGTATATTCAATGAATAAAGAAGAAAGTGTAAGTTTTTAATAGAAATAAACGTATATTTTGTACGGAGACAGTAACCACGCATACAACGTTAGACATTTACCTCGAACGATGGTCATTGAATACATATCCAAACCGATTCTTTATTTTTTTACGGCTCCAAACCGATTCTATACTTGTTTGTTTTCATTTTCTTAAAAAGTTGTAAAGGACGATGCACAAAGACATGTATATATTACGTATACCTTTGATTTTTTAATTACACATTGTGACGTTTATTTTTTCGGGTTGAGATTTCACCAAGACTGGTTGAGACGTGTGTGGGCTATAAATTATATTAGACTAGATGTATTCCCGCATAAGTTTTTTACCTAATATATTTGGTAACATGTTATATGAGAAAAAATATCTTCTGAATACATTGATGCCTCTTCAAGGTAAAGAATAAGACCTCCACTAATTTTGAAAATCTGGAAAAAAATACAAACAAACTTTTGAAAATGGTTTGTCATTTTGTATTGTATGGAGGCAACGATTATATAACTATATTTATCTTATTTGCTGTAAGTTTCCTCTTTCTCATAACATTTTTTATATTAAAGTAAAACAATACAACTTCTGGTTCAATCTAATCTGATATTCGTATGATGTTATGTATTTTCACTATTCAGAATATAGACTACCTTTCAAAAAATGAACAAAAAGTTAAGACATGGAAGCCTCTTTAATTGAGTGATTGATCAAAATGTTCATTAATGTTATATCAAAAGATATTTTGGGGTTCGAATCTTAATATATATAATTTCTACAAGTTAATGGAAGTAAGTTTACATAAATCTTCAGCGAATATAAATAAAGTTGTTCTTCATGATCTCGATTATAGTAAAATTGATAAATTGTTGGTAAAAAGAGAATTCTTTTTCTATTGAATTATTATTTTATCATTACAAATTATGAGAATTGTTACCCCGACGATTTTGTAATGAAAAGTTTATCGCCTTATGAGACTTCACGCCAAAAATTTCCATTTACACCATATTGAAGATTTTTCGTAAGCTTGTCTCCATAAATCTACATAATTGATAATAAATTGCACTTTTTGGGATTCGAAATCCAAATCTTTTAATGTTAAAGTATAATGGACATTTGATCGGCTTCCACTTATAAGTATTCTTCTAATTTGTAATAAATTTTAGACGAAAAAAAAAAAAAAGTTGAGATCTTGCGTTTAGGCTACAGAACTGGCCCATAATTTTTTTTCCATCTAAAAGTCCACAAAAGATTTGTTACACCTAAGACGAAAAACGCACTGCTACTTCAGCCCAATCGTTTCTTATTTATCTATTTATTAATAATAATTGTTTTGAGTAGTAATATCTTCTCTTTTCTCCTTTGTATCTAGCACAAAAAACTTTGCAGTCAAACAAAATAAAAACTTTATATATTTTAGTTGGTCAAAAGATGATAAGAGTAGCGCATTTATGTTAATCTAGGAATAGTCTAAGATTATTATTTCCAAATTTCTATTATAGTTAGTAAAATAAAATAAAAAATTGTGATACGAGTAACGAGTTAATTTTTTTGTTAAAGAAACTGCGAGTTTGGTTTTCCTAAATAAAGGTAGTTAGATGCAACTATTGTTAAATATAAATAGTTATCAATAAAATAAGGAGATTTTATGGGGATGATGATGTAGTATGCAATGAAAGAAAATCAATATTTGATGTACCTAAACCTTTATAAAAACTTAATGGCTTAGAACAAAGTCATTGTGCTAACAATCATCTAGTTGGATTTGTTTAGAAATCTAAAACAATATTAATCCTGTTATATAAATATGTAGATACTTATATATTTACTGGATAATATAGAGAGAAAAAATGATGCTATGATTCATGGCGTAGAGTGGAGACAATGGAGTTGGTGGAATTGGGAGGAAGAGTAAAGGCATGTGCAATGATATTATCTAAGTATCAACTCTCCCATGTGACTACTACTTCACAGACACACTGACTCCTCAATCATACGTTACTAGTCTAATCTTTTTTTTAATTCCCTTAAAATCACATTAAATTATTCCAATTAGCAAAATGTTACATCTAATCTAATTATTTGGTCTGTACGCATCATCAGTTTTTGTCTCTATAGGTGATGTTAAATTACTTCTTATTGACATTGTAATCTAAAGTCACTTTGTTCTTATTAGAAGGGACGGTATTCACTATGTTATTGAGCTTTTTATACATATAAAAATCAAGTTAATAGACTAATGATTTGTGATAATATTGTCACCATATCAACATGATAAAAATTACTTTTGGTAATGCGATTTGGTAATGAGTCACTGAAGCATAATTTTGGATCATATGGAACGATAATTTTTTTTTTTAAAAAAGTATGAAAAATCCAATCCTACAAAATATATATTTGATAAACTGAAACACAAATAATTTCTTATTCTGTTTTTGAACCACTAAAAAAACTATAGTTATACATTTTGTTTCGCTCAATAAACAATTCCTCAAAGCTTTAATAGGTTTGGTTGTTAGTTGATAAGTGGTTGCCAATTTTTTTTCTTTCTCGTTTTTCTTTCTTCTCAACCATAAACAATCTGAATTTCTTTATCAGTGATAAAATACAAATACAATGCTTTGCTTGAGCTTATTGCATTCTTTACTTTATAGAAAAACAGACTATTATATCAAATTTAATAGTTATGGTTACTATCTCTGCTTTTGACAATCACATTTTTTCACCTAATAACCTTTCATGTCTTTTCAGTACACGGAATCGTATATTTTTGTTTTTCAACAAACATATCTGTATGTTATATTAGAGAATATGTCAGTAATTAAAGGGCAAAAGTAGAATCAGTGAATCACTCAATCAAGACATACCGAAAACCCCCAAAATTGACTTCACTTTTCCAATTTCTCTCATAGAAACTATATACTTGGTTTGGACCAAAAGGGTCAATTTATGAAATTATCCATCAAAAACTTACTTATAAGATTTTTTTTTTTTTTAATTTATAAGATCTATTTTTGAAATTACCACACAATAATGAGCAAGTTATCTTCCATTCACTGACCATAATATTCCCTAAAATAGTAATTACCCCTAATTTCACAAATAAAAAAGTAAACAAAAAAACCTAAATTTCAACTGCAAAACCCTAAAACAAACTTAAAAAGAGAAATTAACGTAATTGAAAAAAAAGTTTCTCAAAAAAAAAAAGAGAGAAAAAATTTATCCTAACAACTTTTTTTTTATCCACAATCTTTCCGATCAACAACAACATCACCGGACTGAAACTGCTTCCTCATCTCTACAATCTTCCGGTGAGAATTCGAATGTAACTCCGCCGAGAAAGTCGGACTATTCGCCGGCCGATACTCCGGAACAAGCCTCCCTGACTTGTACCTCACGCCACACGCGTTACACAGCGTCTTCGGTCCCGACGGTCCCGCCCTCCATTGCGGCGTCTTCTCCGCTCCACAGTGTTGACACTTCCTTCCCAACGAAACCGCCGCCGCCGCAACCGACGGCGTCTTCTTCTTCTGCGGTCCTTGCTCGTTGTTCCCCGTCCACAAAACTTTCAAATCTCGCCGTCCCGTGCGGCGGCGCTTGCTTCTCGCTTTTCCCGGCACGTTTAATCCTACGCAGCAATTCATCATCGTGGTGGTGGTAGCTGCCGTCGCCGTCGCAGCCACCGTGCTTCCGTTACTTCCGCCGCTGCTTGTCGTCGCCGTCGTTATAGAGCTATTATGGCTACTCGTTTCCAGAACTGAAACCGGACTCAGCTGTTTCCCTTCCGTCGCCTCTCCCTCCGGCGACGATAAACGGAAATGTTCCGACGGTAAAACGCCGACGAATGTTTCGATTACAGGGAAAGCATCTTTGTTTGATATCCATTCCAAATCTTCCTCAACCACTCCCTGCAAAAATTCCAAAACGAAAATAAAATAAAATTAGACCGAGCGAACTCGTTAACTCGACTGAGTCGACTCTCTCCACGTTTTTCAAAAAAGTAGGGAAGAAAAAGATAATGGGTGGGTGAAGAAAATTAAAAAAGGGAGGGTAATTATGTAATTTGGTGGATTAGATGCATCGAATAATAATAATAAAATAATTTTTTCAAAAAAAGTGTGTGTGTGGGAATGATGCTTACTACAACAAACAAAAATTCGAAATTAAATGGTTGAGAAAAATTGACAAAAAAAAAAAAAATGGTTGAGAAAAAAAACTTAATTTTGTGGGTAGCTCACTCTCATGTGAGGAAACAGCTCACGAAACAATGACCCTCTCAAAAAATAAAAGTATATTCCCGAAAACACCCTCCAACTAACTCCCGAAGCGCATGGGTTTTCAAAAAACCAAAGGGTATTCTCGTCTTTTTACACGATACAAAAACGAAACCGGCAAAACGTCCCCACATGACGTGACGTTTAATTTCTTAATAAATGAAAACGCGTTTCCCGACTTTTGACCCGGCCGAGTCAACAGCCCCTCACCGCCGTGACTCGGTTTAATCTCCGACGGCGAGTCATCTCGACCAAGCCGGTGGTTTCCAGACCAATAATAAACGTTTACGACGGCGGTTTTTATTTTTTTTGGGGAAGAACTTACAGGGTCATCGGGATTGAAGAGACCGAAGGAATCCGTTTGCCGTAATCCTGTTTTCCGGCGAGATATATTCCTCGGAGAACGGACAATCTCTCCTTCGTCTTCGTCTTCTTCCTCCTCCGGTACAGAGAAGTTTAGAAGGTCGTCCATGAATGATTCCATTTCCATAGTCTGGAGAATTAAAAATCGCTTCGTCGTCGAAGGTTTTTTTTTCGTTTTAAGAGAGAGAAAAATGTTGAAAAAGAGAAACAGAGGAGTTTTTAATCTCTCTCTTTCTCTCCCTCTCTCCAAATATCACAACGGCGTTTATTAGGGTTTTCTTTATTTTTTTTTAATTTCGAGAAAGAAAAAAAAAACTTTTTAATTGATTAATTACAAAAAACAATTATTTTGGAGTATTTTTTGGTTGGAAGTGGGGAAGGGGATGACACGAAAATGAATTTCTGGCTTTTTTTTTTGTTGTTGTTGCGCTTTCTCTTTTAAAATCACCTTTCCTACAACGTATACTGACGCTACAATCAACTACGACGCAGCTCACACAATCTACCGTGGAAACTTAGATCAACGGTGCGATCTAATGGCATTATGTAATAACAGTAATAATCTTGTCGTTGTTTTGTCATTTAACACTGTGGACCCCATAAAATGGAAGGGGAAGATCGACCGTACTTATGATAGAGGCTTTTCCATCTAATACTTTTCAGTCCTCTCTCCCCCATTAGATTTTCTCTATTTATTATTTTTTTTCCAAAAAAAAAAATTTAAAAAGAGCTGTTACTATAATGGCATTCACGTGATTACTGTTAAAGTTGAGGGGTGATAATAGCTATGAGTGACAAAGCGGGTGATGCATATCAACCAATAATATTTCAAAACCGTGAGTGTTGGACGAATGAGAATGAAACACTTGTTTAATTACTTTTTTTGACTTTGTATAAAATGCCACCGCAAGTTGCGGGGTAGATTGGAGATAATCTACGCGCACCACACTATGATGTTTTATTTGAAAGCTAAAGTGATTCATTACTTAACAACAAAAATTAAAGGTGTGAATAATATATGTTTTAATATGTGGCAAGTGAATCGTAACAATTACGCCATTTTCGTTTAAATTAAGGGATAACTCTTTTTAGTTTTTAACCTTAAAATATTGCAAAGATTAAGATTCTAAATAATCAAATAATTAATCTTCCCTAATTTTCTTACAACATTCGACTTTTTAAAAATGTGTAATTATGTTAGTAAATTAGTTAGATTTGAATACATCTTAAGAAGATTATATCCTAGTCAAACAATCTTGAAAAATCTATGACTTCTTTGTATGTCCCCTATAAAAACTGAACTGATTCGGTCAATTTAATTTTATTTTAAAGGAAATGATATCTAGGAATCTAATTACAACTCACTGAACCCATTTAATATAAATTATAGAAAGTCTAAATAAGTAAATATATTCATATGTAAACGACTCGCATTAGGAGACGCGAACTATGGGCTTGGCACCCTATAACGAAATGTTGCCGTTCATTGTCTAGATTTAATTGCTTGCTTTTGCATGCTCAAATCTCTTTGCACATCCAAAATAAAAATTGACATAGATTAGAGTTTAGAATAGGAATCTTATCAACAATTTTATTCAAAAAAAAAGGAATCTTATCAACAACGATCGTTTCAAGTATAACTCTGCAAAGAGCCAAGTAAAGAAGAATCAAACGGAGTATCATTGTTAATTAATCATATGGAAACATCAGTTGTTGTTTGATCTGTTTCCTTGTCCAAGAAAATCCACTCCACTTTGTAAGTTTTAAAAAGTTGATGTGAATTTAGTATGCATTTATTAGAACATATTAACATATATCCTAAGGTTTTATGCAAATATATGGAGTATAAATATCTCCCTTATGAAATTTTTAAAGTTTTAGAAGTATAAGGTAATATAAGTTGTTACTTTGCAAAATGTAGCAATTCAGAAGTTAGTAAATCAAAAGCAATAACCACAGGAAAAAATAAAACCTCAAATAGTCGGGTTGACAAATCATAATCTTCATATGATAAGCGTCAATTTTCATAATTAAGACTTTTGATCTATAAGCTTGAACTTATCTCACCTCATTATTTTGAATTTTCCCCCTACGACTATATTTACTTAACAATTTTCTAAATCAAACTCCAACATTGTAATTCTTCTCTTTTCAATTTTATCATACATTGATCATGATAAAACATTGAGTTTGGTTGATTTAGTTTTTATTTTTAATCATCAAATTAGTTTAATTATTTTTTTACGTACTGTTTTTGCACCTAAATAAAGTTCATATGAGCTATTTTTCAAGATAAATAAAGTTTGTATGAACTATTTTTTATCTAATAATTCTTTTTACATAAGATCTTCCTATACTATCTATATGTTGCCTTAAATATAAATTCATGGTTCAACCCAAAATTACAATTTATAGATATAATTCTTCATATAAAATAACAACTTGTGAAAGATATAATTCTTCATATAGAATAACAATTTACTGTAGCTCTTTTGTTTAACTTGATTAAAACTTGGTCGGTCTTCAACACGAATACATTACCGGAAAAATCTCAAACGTAACTGCCAGTGCGAATTCACAAAAGGAAAAGGTATGTTGAAAGAAGTGTTGTCGCCGTTAAAAACATGAATATGAGACAAAAGCTTCTTGTCTAAGTCCCAAACCTTAAAATCTGGTTCTTGACGTAAAATGCTTTCAGTTTGTGGTTTTCATGATGTCAAAACTTTTGGTGGAAAGTTTACTTGGGATGGTAACAGATATCAGCACACTGTTAGAACTCGAATTGATAGGATAGTTGCCACTAGTAATTGGTTTGACATATATTCTACAACTTATGTTTAACTTTTGTCATGGCAGTGTTCTAATCACCGGCCTCTCATTGTTCATACGGAGACATCAAAGTGGAAAGGGTGTAAGCTTTTTAGGTATGATAACCGATAGAGATTTAATCCTCAACTGAAGGATGGCATTCAGAAGATTTGGGATGAGAAATGTCAAGAAGTTCCAAGTAACAACTTCAGCAAAGCCTTACACTTCTGGAAGCTTAAAATTTCTAATTGGAAATCACAAAATATTTATAGTACACAGAAGTTAGTTCATGATCTTAAAGTTTTACTTGGAAAAGCATATGAAGCTACTCCTTTGGATTACACAGTTATTGGTAACATTAAAACTTGATTGGTTCATGCCTACCAGATGGCGGAAGAATATTGGAGACTAAAGAGCAGAACCTTATGGTTGCAAACTGGGGATCAGAATGCCAAATTTTTCCATGCCAAGACTAAGCAAAGAAGATCGCTTAATAGGATTACATCTTTATCTGATGTATTTGGTAACATTCATGTTAAGCAAAAAGTTATTCATAGACTTATCATTGACTATTTATCGTCTTTGTTTACCACTTGTCGAACAGGAAATCAGAAAGACCTGCTCCGAGACATGCAACCAAAGGTCACTGAAGAGATGAATGCATTACTATTCAAACCATTCATCGAACTAGATGTTTATCATGCTTTACAGCAATGGATGCCGATAAGTCTCCAGAGCCATATGAATTAACTGCTGGATTCTGCAAAGATTACTGGTCCACTATTAAAGGAGGTGTGGTAAGTTTTATTAAGCATTTTATGGAAACCACATAGTTAGATCCAGTCCTGAACCGTACCCACATTTGCTTGATCCCGAAGGTTGAGAACCCTATAGAAGTTAAAGACTTTCGACCTATTATTCTTAGTAATGTAGATTATAAGCTATTATCCAAAGTTTTAGCTGAGAAGTTAAAGCAATTTTAACATAGTATCATATCGGAGAATCAAACTGCTTTCATTCCAAGTCGCTTAATAACAGATAATGTTCTTATCTCTCATAAGTTGCTTCATTCTATGCATACTCGTAAGCGATCCTATCCTTTTATGGCTTTAAAATTAGATATCACTAAGACTTTTGATAAGGTTGAATGATCATTTAAGATTATAAAAAAATTAGGGTTTGCAGATGTTTGGTGCCAGTGAATTATGAAGTGTATTACTTCAATTACTTACTCGGTGCTGGTGAATGAGAATCCTTCAGAGTTTATAACTCCTTTTTGTGGTATAAGGCAAGGATACCCTATTTCTCTTTATCTATACTTGTTATGTACTGAAGGACTCTCTTTCCTACTTAACAAAGCAGCATCAAATGGTTTTATTACAGGATTTATAGCGAGCAAGGGAAGTCCTGCAATCACGCATATGCTATTCGCAGATGATTTGTTGCTGTTTTATAAAGCTACAGCCCAAGAGTGCATCTTATTGATATTCTCAAGACATATGAGAGAGCCTCGGGTCAAGTGGTAAACTTTCAAAAATCGGCTATTATGTTTACCAAAGGTATTTATCATGCCCTTAGAGATTATCTTTTGAAAATCACTAACATTTCAAAGATATGAGGCACTGGAAAATATTTAGGCCTACTCGAGTATATAAGACGAAATAGAAACGATACTTTTTCTTATTTGTCTCGGAGAGTATCACACAAGATGGAAAATTGATACACAAAGTTGCTTTCACCTGCTGGGAAAGAGGTAATGCTAAAATATGTCATTATGGCTTTACCTACATATACCATGAGTTGTTTTATGCTTTCTCAGAAAACTTTCATATCATGGAAGCAGCTATGCGAAGTTTTTTTTTTGGAGTACTCAGCAGGATCGAAGCCATAAGAACTGGATTGCTTGGAATAAGATTACTAATCCAAAGGACCAAGGGGGCTTAGGTATCAGAGATCTAAAAGATTTTAATATTGCTTTACTGATAAAACAGAGTTGGCGACTATTGCAGAATCCAAATTTTCTGTTTGCAAGGGTTATAAGTCGAAATACTACTACGCTAACACTTCGTTATTTTTGGCAAAGCAGAAATGGGGATGTAGCTTTGCTTAACGTAGTATTTTTAAAGGAAACAACCTTCTTAAAAAAGGAATTCGATGGAATATTGGCATTTGGCAATGGGAAGCAGATATAGGTATGGAAAGATCCCTGGTTACCTGTAATACCATCATTACCTTCTAATGGAATTGGAGCTCATCTGTATCCTGAATTTAAAGTTAGCGACTTACTTATTAAGGACACAACACAATGTAATAAATAGAAATTATCAGTGTTATGTGATCCTCAGGTTATCTCCTTAACTAAACTAATTAGACCTTCTATTTACATAGTTGCAGATTATGTTATGTGGGTCTATTCTTCTCATGGGGATTACACAGTAAAGTCGGGCTATAATCTTCTAAGGAATCAGCAAGGACAAACCTCTAACGAGCCCACACATTTGCATCAAGCCACCTGAAAACAGAATATTCCTCCAAGGTAAAACATTTTTGGTGGAGATCATTTCGCCAAGCTTTGCTAGTTGCCAGTAAGTTAGAGCAGATGAGAGTATTGAAGGTTACCACTTGTCAAATATGTGGAGAAGCTGAAGAAACGATTGATCATATTCTATTTTATTGCCAGATCAGCAGAGAGGTTTGGGAATTAGCACCTTTACATACTCCATCACTTAAAGATATGGATTTGCATGATATTTATGATAATTACATTAAGATCACGGAGTTAAATGCTCATGATTCAAGTTGCTTAATGCTGATGCATATATTGGGGTGGAGGATTTATGGAAGTATAAAAATGAGATCATATTCAATGCTCGAAGATGTCAAATTCCTGTTATCATAAATAAGACATTAATTGATCTTAAACTTTGGCAGGAGGCGGTTGAAGCTAGTAAAAAAAATGCTCCAGTGATCCAATAATCTAAACTCGCCCTGCTCTAAATACACGATACCAACTTATTCAAGGATTTTGAAGCTTATACTATTTTGTCGATGCATCTTGGATGTCTATGTCGCCAGCAGCTGGAATAGCATGGGTTTTATATGCCAATGATGGAAGACAGGTGCTGAAAGGTTCTACTAAACATTCCACCAATCCTCACATCACAAAATGCAGAAGCTCAGGTACTGCATATTGCTGTTACTAATTTGCGAAGACTTGGCTATCGAAATGTAATGTTTTGCGGAGATTCCAATGCCATTTATGGCCTTCTTCAAAAGACCCAAGTTTTGGTGGGATTGTCAGGTATAAGACACTGCTTTGGAGCGATAATTTTAAACAATATATGGAGATTGATAGCAGAGTGCGGTTTCACCTTTAGGCAGATTGATAGCAGATTGATAGTTTGGCTAAACAGGCTAGAGTTTCATTTCAAAATCATGTAATCGCTTGGATAATGTAACTTGGTTCATAATGAATGGATTTGTTGACTACAAAAAAAAAAACCATTAAAAGGAAGTTATATTTAAATTAAAGTTTTAAAAAAAAAAAAAAAAAAATCTATCTTCGGAATCTGATGCGACTGTGACCATTACATGCTTCAGTTAGCTTTCTTCTCCAGAAGTCTGGAAATCGCGCCGCCGTGAAAAAAAAGAAAATGCAGAACGGATTAACGGTTGCAAAAGAGCAACCGAGAGTCACTCTCTACGTAATCCTCACTACCGCCTTTCTCTCTCTTTGCTTCCTCCTCTCTCTCTCCTCCTCCTCCTCCTCTCACTCTTCCTACATCGGACCCGATAACATACAACCCGACCCGAGACTCTTTCCTTCCTCCTCCAAAATCGCCGCCGACACAGCGCCTCCCTCCATCGCTTACCTCATCTCTGGATCTCCCGGTGATTCGCGTCGGATCCTTCGTCTTCTCTACGCTACTTACCACCCTAGAAACCGGTATCTCCTCCATCTCGATAGCTTGTCGACGCAATCGGAACGAGATCGGCTCGCTGTGACGGTACAAGACGTACCGATTTTCCGAGCTGCGCGGAATGTTGACGTTGTTGGAAAACCCGATTTCGCGTACCAGAGAGGATCGTCTCCGATGGCATCCACGCTTCACGGTGCTTCGATTCTTCTCAGATTGTCTGGGGTTTGGGATTGGTTTGTTAATCTCAGCGTAGATGATTACCCTCTCGTTACTCAAGATGGTTGGATTTTTGATTCCTTCCTACAACTTCTTTGATTTTATTGTGTGATGATTCTCTTCGAGTTTTCAAGGTTTTTATTTGACTTGGGTTGTGCAGAGCTTCTTCACATTTTGTCGCATTTGCCTAAGGAGCTGAACTTTGTGAACCACACCAGCTACATTGGCTGGAAAGAGTAAGATTCTGATTCTCTCTATGCACATTGATTCCGCTGAGATTTGAAGCCTATTGTGTTAATTTGGCTGAATTCGATTTGACTGAGCCAAGATTCAATGTTCTTGAATATCAATTTAGTTGGGGAAATTTGAGCAATTTTCTCTTGGTTTCCCGTAGGTCTAGGAGGTTGAAGCCAGTGATTGTGGATCCAGGGCTCTATCTTGTGGAGAAAACAGAAATGTTCTTTGCTTCACAGAAACGAGAGTTGCCTAAGGCTTTCAAGTTATTCTCAGGTATGCTCATCTTTTCCAAGCTGCCTTACATTTCGTATTCGTTTACTATTTCCTGATTTCTGCACTTCTTGGTGGATCATTGATAAATAATCACCTTGTTCTTTCTTTGCAAATGTGTGTGTGTTCGCGCAATAAATTGAATTGTTTAGTATTGACATGTTTGACCGAAGCTCAAACATCAAATAGAAGTCAATTATGAAATTGTGTTTGAGTAGATGTTCTACTTACTAGCCGTGCTGTTCTGTAGGAACTAAGTCCCTATTTTCACAAGGTTAGCAATTTTTTTGCTCTGACTTAGTTTGTTTAGGACATTTCGTTATATGGTAGGTAGATTTGTATAAGTGCTGTGTAACAGTAGTTGAAACTGCTGTTGGTGTGGGAAGAAAATAGACTACAGGATGTCTCGTTTGTTGGTAGTGTGGTATTAGCTGCTTAAGCAGATATGTGAAGAAAGGGAAACCCTGTCAGAGTCTTGGTATCGCTTAAATGGCTCTTCTGTTATTTGTTAACAAAAATAAGTCTCCTCCGAATGTGATCTATGAAAGTTATGGGCGTGAATCAGATGGAATGTAGAAGGGGATTGCTTGAACTAGGACACTTTAGTATGTAATCTCTTTGCAGGAAATTATGACTAGCTAAAAGAACTGACATATATGAATCTTGGGCGATGTGATGAAACTGCGAGGAATAAAACCTGCCAAAACTTTTTACTAATTGTGCTGCTTAGATGGAGCTAAACCTTCTTTTTAGAGGCTTAGCAATTTGTTTGCAAGATTTCATAATTCTGTAGGTAGATTTGTGAAGGTAGATGGTAAAAACTGTTGATAACTGCGAAACCTGTATAACCATAAACTGCTGCTGCTTTGAAGAAAAAATAAGACTACTCGATGTCTCGTTCATCGGTGGTGCTAATTAGCTACTTATCAGAGAAGCGAGTAAATGAAGCCAAAGTCTAGGAATCACTTACAATGTTTCTCATTGCTATAAGTTTATCGATTGTTAACAGCTGACATCTCCCATCCAAATGTGGTCTGTGGACTTATGAATGTGAATCATATTTTGGATGACATGTAAAAGGTCATTTGCTTGAACTAGGGAACTTCTTTGGCATGCAATATCTATACAGGCGATTATAAGTTATAACTAGTTAAAAGAGATGACATAGCTGAAAAGAAGGGGCTGAGATAACATTATGTCATTTATGATTAAACTAACTGCGATAATCTCTTTTTGGTAGGTCCATCTTTCTCCATCTTAAGCCGCAATTTCATGGAGCACTGTGTCTTGGGTACTGACAACTTCCCTCGGACTCTACTCATGTACTTGTCCAACACACCTGCTTCCCTCTCCAACTACTTCCCGACTATCCTCTGCAACTCGAACCTCTTCAAAAAAACCATCATCAACAACAACTTACTCTACCTTGCTTCTAACGACACTTCTAAAGAAAGATATCACCGGCTCGATTCCAAAGAGTTCACAGAAATGGTTGAATCCGGAGCAGCATTTGCAAGAGGGTTCAGGTACGATGACACAGTCCTTGATCGCATCGATCATGAACTTCTGGGACGCGAACCTGGCGAAGTTGTGCCTGGTGGTTGGTGTTTGGGAGATTCAGGTAGCAACAGCAGCTCATGTTCTGTCTGGGGCGACTCGGGTATTCTAAGACCTGGTTCTGGTTCGGATAGGCTTGAGAGACGAATTGTGGAGTTATTGTCAAATGATTGGTTCAAATCGCACCAATGCATATCCGAATGATCCTCACCGGAGTTCGATAGTATATAGTTGGCCACGAAGAAGATAACGGTAATTTACGACATTTTGTATCTTTAGAGAGTTCCACTTTCTCATGTAATCTTATGAGTTTTGAGATTGTTTGATTCGTTGTTGTAAAAGAAAACATCTCAGGCTCTCTCAGCTTATTTGTTGTTTGTCATTTCAGACTCGGTTCAATTGATTTATTTGGATTAAGTCTTAACCGGTATAAAATCCCGGGTTTTTATTAAATTCAAGCCAAACCGTGTTTCTTATATATTTGAATCCGTGATTGACGATTGGTTAAAAGCAGAAAATGGAATCAAAATCAGAGCCAAACGAATGGAGCTCCGGCGTGTGGGCCCACCTCACCGCCGCCCGGCAGCGATCGCCGCTTGTTCAGTGCATCACCAACTTCGTGTCGATGGATCTCGTGGCCAATACGCTTTTATCCGCTGGCGCATCTCCGGCGATGGTTCATTCCGTCGTTGAGATTCCTGATTTCACGCCTCATATTCACGCGCTCTGCGTCAACATTGGGACGCTTACACCCGACTGGCTGCCTTCCATGAAAGCTGCCGCTGAAATTGCTTCTAAGCTCGGAAAGCCCTGGGTTCTCGATCCCGCCGCCGTGAGTTGCTCCGGTTTCCGGTTAAAGTCATGTCTGGAGCTCGTTGAGCTTAAACCTACTGTAATCAAAGGAAACGGTTCTGAGATTATTGCTCTCTCCTCAGCTTCACCGGGTCAAACTAAGGTATGTGATATCTCTAAATCGTATTGAGATTCACAATGATTCAAGAATTTTGTTATTAGAGATTTTGGTGAATGCGTAGAGTATAGAAGTGAACTCTGCAATTCTTTGTTCTTTTGTTCAATTCATCGAAGTTTGTTCATCATAATTTCTAGGAATCAAGAATGGACATGTTTTAGTGAAGTTTTGCTAATATATGAGGTTTTTTTTTTTTGTTGGTGTTAGGGTGCTGATAGCTCTCATGAATCTACAGACGCCATAGAAGCTGCAAAGTCATTAGCTTTGTCAAGTGGAGCTGTAGTTGCAGTGTCAGGAGCTGTTGATATCGTTACAGATGGGAAACAGGTTATCGGTGTCCACAACGGGACAAAGATGATGCAAAAGATCACTGCAACTGGATGTTCTCTAGCTGGTCTGGTCGCTGCGTTTCTTGCCATCGATCAGTCACGGCCACTGGAAGCTACGGTTTCCGCTATGTCTGTCTTTGGCATCGCAGGTGAGTTGGGAGAAGCTATGGCGAAAGGTCCAGGTTCGTTGCGAATGCATTTGATAGACTCTCTCTACGGGTTAGATGAAACCACAGTGCTAAGCCGTGTGAATATCACCAGGTTTGGTTGAATGTAAACAAGAATCTTCTTCTTGGAATAAAGTTTATGTGGTTTTGCTTACAATCAATAACAAACAAAAAAAAGGAACATTCACACACATACACACATGCACAAATTTAAAAATCTTTTGGTATGGCTCCTTTTTGGTTTTGTTTAGTACTTCAGATGAACAATGATCCTCAGCAGCGACTCAGCTCCGTCCACGAAATGCTGACCCGATGGAATCAATGGCCTGACCTCTGCAAAGCCACAAGCATTCTTGAACCTACCTGTTCCTCCAGTCACTGACAGATGCGACATAGCGCTTCCGATCCTATAAATCCCATAGAAGTTGAGGTTGTCATTGTATTCTCCACCTTCAAGCATAGCTGTGAAAGCCATCATCTGTGTGCTTCCATCTGCAGAACTTGCAACATAAACTCCTTGAGCCTTACCAAGCGGCTGCGAACCCAAGTCAGGACCAGATGTGAGTATGTCATCGATCACTGTGATTGTCCCAAACCCGAGACTCAGACCATCAGGACCCAACTGAGTCTGAATCCCGTTCAGGTTCTGACCAGAGTAAGCTGTACCAGACAAGCCTGTCCCAAGAGGTACACCGTTGATGCCGTTAACCGTCGGGAGTGCGCCGTTTGCATTTGGTATGGCGATACCGTTTTCTGGAGGAGTGAAACCAATCTGCTTAGCAAAGGGAACTTGACCGTTGTAAATGTTTCCGAGCAAACCAGTGATGGGTCTCGCCGTGGGGCTGCTTCCTCCGAGTAAATCGTGCATGTAGAGTTCGAAAATTGGGTCTTCAGGTGCAGGATCAAGCGCTGCTGCAGAGACAGCAACTGTGAACAAGATTGCTGTTAAAAGCAAGAATGGTGATTGCTTAATCATCATCATGGAGATAAGGCAATCAAAATTTGCTGTTAGAAGATTTTGAACTGATTTAAGATTGTTTGATGAATATGTGAGATGTGGGCAAATGGTGTTTAAATAGAGAGGTGGTGATTGTGAAGTTGTTAAGATTTATGATTTTGTGTAGTTGTTGAATTAGAGTTCTTTATAGCTGTGTTATCTTGTAATCAAATTTGTTTTCTTCATAAAAATTTGTGAACATCCATAAAAAAAAACGTCAGAGAATGATGTACAATGAGAGCTCTTTTAATTTAGTGGGTGCCAAATGTTTTTTCCATTTTTAATTATACTACTTGTAGGCTTGTAGCCTTTAATTTAGGTGGTTTAGGTTGAATAATTAGGAATTAGTTCATGGTTCAGTGCAAGAAAATGAGAAAAACTAAACATTACTAAAATGATAAAATCTAAAAAGTCGAAACCTTCTACGTGTATGGAAATGAAATTAAACGGAAACAGTGACGGAAAAAAAAAACGGATACAGTATTTTGTGCGCCAGTTAATAAAACTAGTTTTGAAAGAGTTGCGAACTGAAAGAATGAAGAGAAAAAATCTTCAGTGCCATAACAGAGTTTCAGTGCCATAAATGAGATGAAAACCCTATTATACCTTTAATAAAAAGTAATTATGGCATTGCTGAATTTTCGTTTTTGGTTTATTGGTTTAATTAAAAAAAAAAAAAACAAAACAAAAAATATTATTGTTTTAAAAATTAAATTATGTGCTCTCTTTCTCTTCCTCTCTCTTCCTCTCTCTCTTCGAATTGCACATTTCTGAGAAATTGGATTTGCCCGATCCGAGCTGAATCATGTGCTGGACTCGTGACCCAGCTCGCCGGGACGTATTAGCCACCGTGTCGTCCTCCTGTACAGCACGACTTCGTTTTCTGAACTCGAGTGAGCTCCTTGCGAAGCATCAGGTATGATTTTGGGGTTTTATAATTTTGTGGGTCGATTTGTGAAATTTGTTAGTTTTAGCATGCACATTGGATATTTAAGACAACTATATGGGTCGATTAGTGGATGGTTGTTGGTGAATCGAGCTGAATCGTAGTCTTCTAGGTTGTGAATGATGAATCCGTCAGATTTGCGAGAATTGGGACAAGTGGTATAACTAAGAGTGTCAGGATAATTGGTACAACTGGTACAACTTAGATAGATTGGACAAGTGGTACAAATGGGACAACTTTAGAAACTGGGACAACTGGTACAATTGGTAGAACTTTAGAAAGTGGGACAACTGGTACAACTGGTACAGGTACAAATTGAGAGAAGCTGACAATTGGCAATATTTTTATTTTTATTTTTTTTGTATTTGCAGGAGAGAATGAGTAGGCCCACAAACATATATTTTGAGTATGGAGGATATTATTCACCGAAAGGAGAAGAGTTTAAATGGAATTCTAAAAATTTCATATATGCTATATCATTTAGAAACTTATCTATGGAGGAGTTAACCTATTCGGTGCTTGTAGATGGTATATGCAAGAAGATTGGGTTGAATGACAGTATGAGGAATCTGAAATTGAGCTATATTCCGTTGGTAGCTAAGCCTTTTAGAGAGTCATGTATTGTTGATGATGGTGATGTTTATGTGTATCTTACGACAGTGGATAAAGAGGGACTTAGAGCCATTTTGAATGTGGAGCTAATGGAAGATATAGAGAGTGAAGAGCTTCCCAGAGCAGAAGACGCCCCTGATATTGAGGGACAACAGGGACAACAAAGAGACCAGTTGATTGTTTACAACCCGGAAGAAGCAGAGGGACAACAGGGACAACCGGAGAGGATGGAGAATGTTGATTTACGGGTAAGCTGTGAAATTGAGGGACAACAGGGACAAACTGAGAGGATGGAGAATGTTGATTTACGGGTAAGCTGTGAAATTGCGTTACCAGAGGAGAATGCGGAGTGTGGCATGCATGAAGATGTAGATGAACATGATCATGTTGAGCCTCTACGGCCTGTGGAACAAACTCAG